AAGATTTAACTATTAAACTCTTGCATAAAGGTGGACAAAGTCATCATCAACCCTTACTTTGGCTTGGGAGCACCAGATTATTCCAAAATTCAGATTCCAAAGAGAGACAAATGGCAGCACAGTATGACCAGCGTCACAGAAGACAAGTCAGTATATGCACTTAAAATGCCATTGTTCTGTGTGTTATATTATTAAGCCATTAATAATCAGAGATCATTCAATACTAAAACAATCCAAATATACATCTGTTAGGGGACTGATCATGTTTTTGTCCTGTAGAGAGCGCCAGTGGGTGGATGATTTCCCTCTGCACCGCAGTGCCTGTGAAGGAGACACTGAGCTTCTGTCCAAACTGCTGGACAGTGGTTTATCGGTTAAACAGCTGGACAGCGACCACTGGGCACCTATTCATTATGCATGCTGGTATATATCAGCTTCCTGTTTCTTTAAATAAGTAACTACATATGAAGGGTTTGTTTAGGTCTCTTTATTTCTCATTCGGAAACATGAGATCACTTGGATCCATTTTCCTCCTTTTTGTGCCCATCATCTCTACAGTTTACTGATGTAAAAGGCCCTCTAGAATATAAATGGATATGTTTTCCCTCTGACTTTAGGCATGGAAAGGTGGAGGCCACCAAGCTTCTGTTGGAGAAAGGGAACTGTAACCCCAATCTGCTGAACGGCCAACTGAGCTCTCCTTTACACTTTGCAGCCATTGGTGGTCATGCAGAAATCGTACAGCTCCTTCTGCAGCACCCGGAGATAGACAGAGTGAGAAATCTATGCTAATTTAAATAGTAATAAATCGTCTATGCTAATTTTCCCTGTTTTCTATTCAGATAACCTGTCTCTTCAAAACACTATTCTTTTAAATTAAATATAATATAAATCATATTAATATAATTAATATATCAACATAAAATAATAGTAATATAATTGAGTTAAAAACACTTTTAACTTTAATTACAAACCTCAAAATGAATAACCATTTTTCAGTTTTTAGTGTTTTATTTCATTATTATTTTTTATTTTAACTTGTTTAGATGAAATGTGACCCTGGACCACAAAACCAGTCATAAGGGTCAATTTGCTGAGTAAATAAGCTTTCCACTGATGTATGATTTGATAGGACAATATTTGGCCGAGATACAACTATTTGAAAATCTGGAATCTGAGGATGCAAAAAAAATCTAAATATTGAGAAAATCGCCTTTAAACTTGTCCAAATTAAGTCCTTAGCAATGCATATTACTAATCAAAAATTGATTTGATATATTTATGGTAGGAAATTTACAAAATATCTTCACGGAACATGATCTTTACTTAATATCCTAATGATTTTTGGCATAAAAGAAATATCGATAATTTTGACCCATACAATGCATTTTTGTCTATTGCTACAAATATACCTGTGCTACTTAAGACTGGTTTTGTGGTCCAGGGTCGCAAATAGTATAGATTTTTTTTCTATTTTTGTCTCTCACCATGAATATAGCAGTTACAGCTGGCATGACGCTAAATTCTAAACAGACAAATCAATTTGATTATTTTTGGGATTTCTTTTAATTTTAAGCACATTGAGGACCAACAGAAACGATCCCCTCTTCAAGTATGTGAAGAGAGCAAACAGAACAACTGGGAGGAAACGGTGAAACTCCTTCAGCAAGCCAGTAATAAACCAGTGAGTGTGAACACAGTGCTTCTTCTCCACAAAGCTGCAGTTCTGTATCAACAGTCCTTGAGGTACTTAGTAGCATGTTTTGGTGTGTTTCAGTATGAGAAGGTGAGAATTTATCGCATGGATGGATCGTATAGGACCGTGGAACTGAAACGTGGGAACAACACAACAGTGCAGCAGATCATGGAGGGCATGAGACTGTCGCAGGAGACACAACAGTACTTCACCATCTGGATCTGCTCAGAGAACCTCAGTGAGACACCACACCTGATAAAACACATCCACAACTCTGCTTCATGCTTCATGCTTTTCTTATTTGATTTGGATTGAGACAAATCTGACCCTGTGGTGTTTTTCAGCTCTACAGCTGAAGCCATACCATAAGCCCTTGCAGCACTTAGGGATCTGGAGCGAGATAGTGACTGATCTCACCGCTCTGGATCCCCAAAGGGAAACTCCACAGCTCTTCCTGCGCAGAGATGTCCGGCTACCCTTAGAAATAGAAAAAAAGGTTTCTGCCACGTTATCTTTGATCAATCTGTTTTTGGTCCACCTGGTGTTTTTAAAGCAATGGTTTAGAGTCTCCGTCTACATCCTGCTTTGATCCTCCTAGGTTGAAGATCCAAAGTCCATCCTCATGCTGTTTGATGAAGCTCGTCACTGCCTCCTCAAAGCCTTCCTATCAGCATCAGACAGCAAGCTAATTACTCTCGCCAGCCTCCTCCTGCAGATCATTTACGGAAACTACGACAGCAAGAAGCACAAACAGGGCTTTTTGAAGTATGTAGCTCATTCCTCATCAATTTCCCCATATCGTCAAAGACTGTTTCCATGTTAGTGATAAAAGACATGAATATCTCTTGTTTAATGCAGTGAGGAAAACCTCAAATCCATAGTTCCAATTTCAAAGGTCAAGAGCAAAGCACATCACTGGACTAACAGGATACTTCACGAGTACAAGGTGTGTCAATTCAGATCATTTTCAAAATGTTGGTGTTGGTAAGATTTTTTATGTTATTGCACTCTTATGCTCACCAAGACTGGTCTGGTTTTCTCAATTCTTTGTGTGTCTTTAGAGTTTGAGCACCAGTGAGGGTGTGAGTAAAGAGATGCACCACCTCCAGAGACTCTTTCTGCAGAACTGCTGGGATATCCCCACCTATGGGGCGGCTTTCTTCACAGGACAGGTGTTCACCAAGGCCAGCTCCAGTACCCACAAGGTCATTCGAGTATATGTGGGGGTGAACACCAAAGGCCTGCATCTAATGAACATGGAGACAAAAGTGAGATTCCAGTCACTTTATATCAAACGGACAGATGCTTTTACATGTAATTTATCCCTCAGATCTTCTGTGACATTGTGTTGTTTTATTAATCAGGTGCTTCATCTCAGTTTGGAGTATGGGACATTTATGTGGCAGCTGGGTCAGGCTGACCAATACGTCCAAATACACAGTCTAGAGAACAAGAAGAACTTCATTGTGCACACCAAACAGGTATGTGTCTTGCATCTTTGCATCTTGACATTCATTTTGACAATGTGAAACCCGAGTTGATCATCTTTGTGTTTTTTCTCCAGGCCGGCCTTATTGTCAAGCTGCTGATGAAGTTGAGTGGACAGATCACACCAAACGACAGAGCTGCATTAGATAAATATGCTTATGGTTAACCCCATCACAGAGAAGCACCTTGTTTTTGCCTTTTTTGCAGTTGTTTTGATTTTTAATCTATTATAAAACGACATGACTCAGAGTCATTTATACCAAAATGGGAGCTATTACATATCATCATAAATGTTAACCTTATTTACCATGTAATATTTTCTTACTGTATATGATATTATATGCATTTTATAATGTAATGACCAGTTTTTGCTTTTAACAGTTTTTGTAAATATGAATGACCATTTTAATAAAAAAAAATTACACAAAGAGCCCTCATAAATTATTTATACAAGAATGGATTTTTTTTTACATTTCTCATAATTAGTTTGAAGCATGTTTTGATGAATATTAAGTAAAAGCCTTTATCATTTATATTCTGATTCACTAGGAAATTAATCAAAATAGCTATCTGTCCAGATGTAAATCAGTAATATGGTTTCCTAAAAAAAAATATATATATATATATGTATGTACACACACATTTTACCCCACAAATTTCCATGACCTTATTTTTTATTTTAATTTTTTTTTACGCTTATCTGCAAAGAGTAGGCTAATTTATGAACCTGCTGGACTAAAAACTTTTTATAATTATTTTTATATATAATTCTATTATTTTTGGTACACTCAATAATATAAAGTTTACAAAATAGTAAGTGAAACATCTATCATCGCCCTTTATAACTCTTAGACACAAGAACATGTTTTTGTGAAGATTTCCATTCAGTATTGAAACAGAGGCTGTCTTTTCTTAGACAAATGGCTTATTCCGATTTGTTACGCCAAGCAGCACATTCAGCCTCTATTATATTGTCATGTTGTGCTCTGTTCTATGGCCGGAAAATTTTTATGTGCGGTTCACTAAACGCAGCATAAAGGTTGCATTATTTCAAGCAACATGTCCAGGGATTGTTAATATATAGTTTGCATAATCTATCACATTTACGGATGCAGGTAGCCTACAGATAACTGAAGGAAAAGCATTTGTGCTTGCATTTTTTCTCCACTGTGCACATATTGTGTCTCTCATTCAGCTTTCTTTAGGTGATGTATAAAAGATCTTTTAAGAGCTGATAGGATTTGGTCAGTCATGTCTTTCAATACGTTCCCTCCTTCCTTTTCTCACTTATTCCTTTGTCGCAATCATTGTACACAACAGAAGGCAGAACACTAGACTTCTGTTCCTGTTTCTCTAGAGAGCAAAAAGATTGTTTTCGGCCTGCCAGAACGACGTGGATTCTCCATTCCTCTGAGAATTCCATGTCTTTATCCGCAAAAGTGATAAATCCGACTTCCCAACCGCTCATTTGTCTGCGGTGCTGGAAGGGAGATCTTTCAGCTGCTAAAAACCAGTCTAAAGGTCAGAGAAAACTTGCTGTAAAACAGAGACAGTGATGCTTCACAAAGACACGACTGAGATCTTTCTCACACCCTATTTCTCACACAATGCTTGAATGGGGGCTTAGAGGAGCAGAAAGAAGGAGAAGGGGAGGGGAATCTTTTCAGTTCTTCAAATGCAACAATAGTCTTTGTCTACAATGTCCCTCCATTCTTATTGGGGTTACTGACTGGGATGGGGTGGAGGGGCCGGATTGCCATAGAAACAGTGACAAAACAAGCTGGTCCCGGAGCAAGAGAGACACAAAAACATGCTTCAGATCCGAGACGGAATCTCTGTATCGATCTCTGCAATTTAGTTAGAAGAGACAGTGTGCCAAAGGAGGAAGACTTATGTGAAAGGATGGATGCAGCTACAGTTGGGTAGAAGAAAAGGCAATAAGAAATACTGGAGCAGTATAAAAGCACTCAATTCTTTCGGAGGGACGTTTGGACCAGGATTCAGTTGTGCTGGCGGTTATTGCTCGACTGGATATCACAATGAACTCCGACACTCAGTATGAGGACTCAGTGTCCATCATGGTTCTGGAGAACATCAAGAACAAGCTGTTACATGCTTTCAGAACATCAGCAGAACCGAGAACCTCTGCTGAGACAGCTATTCATCCAATCAGAAAGAGTTTACAAGTAAACGAAGAGCTTCGGAGAGCCAAAATAGAAGGAGCCATAACTTGGTTAAGATCAGAACTGGTAAGTTTAGAAACCACTGATACTTTTACATCTTAAGTGACATTTTAGAATGGATTGTTTGGTTGTTTCATTTGTTGTTTTTTGTCGGTTAGATGAGGATAGATAGGTGGATGGACGCACAGAAAAACAGATATATGGAAGGATGCTTGGATAGACAGAGATGGATGGACCAAAAAAAAAAACCCAGATATATGGAAGGATGAATTATAGACAGACAGATATATGGAAGGATGGATGGACAGAAAAACAGATAAATGGAAGGCTGGATGAATAGACAGATAGATGGATAGACAGAGATGGGTGGACAGAAAAACAGATAAATGGAAGGCTGGATGAATAGACAGATAGATGGATAGACAGAGATGGGTGGACAGAAAAACAGATAGATGGAAGGGTGAATGACAGACAGATATATGGATGGATGGATGGACAGACAGAAAAACAGAAAAAAAGGATACATGATAGACAGACAGATATATGGAAGTGTGGATGGACAGAAAAACAGATAGATGGAAGGATGATGAATAGACAGATAGATGGTGGATAGACAGAGATGGATGGACAGAAAGCAGATAGATGAAAGAATGAATGACAGACAAACAGATGAAAGGATGGATGATAGATAGATGATGGATAGACAGAGATGGATGGACAGAAAAGCTGATAGATGGAAGGGTAAATGATAGACAGACAGATAGATATATGGATTGATGGATGGACAGAAAAACAGATAGATGGAAAGATGGATGATAGACAGACAGATAGACAGATATATGGAAGGATGGACAGAAAAAAGAGATAGATGGAATGATGGATATAGACAGATTGACAGAAATATAGATGGGTGGATGGAAGAATCGAGAGACAGAGAGACAGAATAATAGATAGACAGACAGACAGACAGACAGACAGATGATAGATAGATAGACAGACAGACAGACAGACAGACAGACAGACAGATAGATAGATGATAGATAGATAGACAGACAGACAGATGATAA